CAAGACATTGCATTTGCCAGGCAGGTGCTTATGCTGCTGAGCCGTCTCCCCAGCCCAAGATAGTGCCTTGAAAGAGAGAGACAAAGGCAGAAGGCTTTTTAGGGAGAGTGGTATCTTTATTTCTTCTCAAATGGTTTCAGCTAGAGCTGTTTTTTTCTTAATAGAAGATAAGGCTGTTTTTTTCTTAATAAAAGATTTCCAGTAGATAATTTATTACAAGCAAATACGAAATACAAAAACTTGGTGGGCCTTTGGATTTTTCTAACTCCAGAAGAAATTATGTTTAAAAATCTCAGCAATATCCCAATAATAAAACCAACCTCCCCTGACACATACAGTTAAAACCCGCTAAAATAGGAATTAAATATAGGAAATTAAAAGTTAAGAGTAGCTAGTCACTTTGATCTCAGTGGTTCTGATTCCTCATTATCTTTTCCTTTTTAAATCATGATTCTTTATATTGGTACTTTGAATTTGTCTGCTACTTAAAAATACATATATATATATGTATATATATATATACACACACACACACACACAATATAAAGACACACAAGCATATTCATTGTTGACTAAATGTCCAAGTCAGCAACATGAAGTTTTGAAAAGCCAGACTCAGTTTTATTAGGTACCTCTAACATTGTGTTGGCTTTCACCTACAACTGTGCTATGCAAATGTGTAACCAAAGGAAAGTTGGTGTTTAGACTGTGCAGTGCGTGGGGTCTAAAACACAGTTCTCCAGTTGGTTTCGTCAGCCTGATGTGGAGCAAGGCCACGTTGGAGCCTTTACGTGTTTCTGGTGCCATGGATAGTGTTTGCCTGTTACCTTCTCTTCTTTGACCTGTTTTGTGACTCTTCAGATCCTCACACTGGCTTTACCTCCATTCTCCATCAGGAAGGTGTTAGTTTCTCCCAGCCCCCTGGAATTGAACGTTGTTCTGTTTCTTTATGACTTGCTGTTATACAGCTGTATGACCAGATTCAGTTGAGTCAGATCTACAACTTCGGCCTTAGTCTTGGGCTTTTTTTCTTAGGTGTCTGGCTTCCTGTTTCTAGCTCTTAGGTCCCATCTCTTTCTCACTATTGAATAGCATGTAGGGATTTTACAAAACTGTGCGGTTGATTTGGTGTTTTTTTTTTTTTAAGCTAAAAGTCCAGGAAAGTCCTTGATGTTATTTGTGTGTGTATGCATATACATACATACATACATAGGTATGCATATATACATTTATTTTTATGGGTACTTTGAAGTGGAATTCAATTATTGGAGAAAAATAATGTCTAAGTTTTTTTATTTTGAAAGTTTTCAAATGAATATAGTAAATAAAATATTTACTTTATCAATGTAGTAAACAGGTTGTGACAAACAGCTTATTATGTGATAGCATTTCTTCATCGTATTATATTTTTATCCTCCCTTTTTCTCTTCCTTTTCCATTCTACTGTAAGAGAAAATAGCTCAGGAAACCAGTTTACAGTCAGTAATCTTTGAACTTCCAGGACTGTTTGCCAAAATCCCCCTGAATGTTGTAGATCCTGACGTAAGCAGCATTGTTCTGGGGTAATTTTTATAATGGTATAAGACAGAGTGGCTAAGGTTGATAAGTGCAGGTGTTATCCTTTGCAGAAACTCAGTTGGGAATCCTTTTCTGCCAACTTTTGTATTCATCTATAAATTTAAAACATGTTCCATTACCTCTTACTCCCATCAGAGCAATAGTGGATGGATTTAGATAAGAGTTTCTATTTCTGAAGACTTGGCTGTCTTTTGTAATCAGTGTGTTTTTTAGAGGACTGCCTTCTTGTCTCAGAATCCGTAGTCCTTGTTACCACTTGTATGTTATCTGTCAACATTTATTTGGAAAGTTTTTAGGTTATCTTTTTCTATGGTTCAGTTTTGACTTAAGTAGGACTTAAAGGGAATTTATAATTAAATTTATCTTTCACATTTTTAAAAAACTAGCCTCATGCCTAATTAAGTATAGTCATTTAAGTATCCTTTTATGTTTATTTCTTACTATATTTCAAGTCCTTTAAATCCCCTATTTAATGCCTGTGCTTATTACGAACCCAGATAATCTTTCATAAAGTACCAAAGGTTAAACTGCTCTATGAAGGACAGAAAATAGAGAATTGGGAAGATACTTGAGACTATCTGCTTAAGATTTAGTGTTCATATATGTATAACATTTAACTCATAACACAGAGCTCCTGTAATATTTATTTAAAAGACGAGGAATTTCTTTGGTTCTTTCTTTCACATTTCAGAACTGTCAGGAGAAGGCAATAAAAGAAAAGAGAAGAAAGTGGTATTTTGCTTTGTTTTGTTTCCTACTTTTGGAGCATATTTTTATTTTTATTTTTAAATTTTTTTATTAATTTTATTGAGAAACAAATAACTGTGAGACAGTTTCAAAACAGGATAGTAGGACAGTTACAATAATTAATACATTGCATATTGTTGTCTTCGTAGTAGTTACTCATAGTACAAGATGCAGACATGATATCCTGTCCACACACTATTAGTACAAATCTTCTCATTCAATTAAGAGAAAGTAGCTGTATATCTATCCTATTTTGTATATACAGATATAAAATGAACCTTCATTTATATCCCACTTTTTGTTTAGTTTTGTCAGAGATGGGTATTCTCTTGACATTTAAATATTATAGATGCATGAATTCAGCAAAGTAATCCAATATAGTTCAGTAGTCCATAATAGTAGTGGGTTAAATTTAACTTATCAGTACTTGATGGAAAATACCTGTTCCATGTTGTGTCTAAGATGTTTGATATCCAGACAGATAGTGAGGTTAAGCTCAACTGCCTATGTTATAGGGTAATAATATTAAGCTCCTCTTCTGGAGGGTTAGCAGCTTAAGTTTGCAGACCAAAAATTAGAGAAAAAGGGCTATGAGAATAACCAACATTTTGGCCCTAGCCATTCAAGGTCAGTGAGGGCTCAAGACATAAGAGAACCTGTACTGTAACTCAGTGATGTCCCAGATTTTTTAATCAAGGAGATTATGAGGCCACAGAGGAAAGTGATTGACGATGTATAATGCACCTAAGGAGAGTCACCTAGAGAGAAAACATTCTCTTAGGCTTTCACAGAGAGCTAATTGGTCAAGCAATGGCCGTGATTCATCCATATGGCTGACACTGACAAAGGAGCTACAAACTGCGGTACAGGGTTTCAGGGTAAATCCTGAGGGGATTTGACTGACCTTATCAGATACAAAAGTTACATTTCTTGTTCTATAGGTCTTGCTTTTTCTTGGTTTTAGCCCTCCAGCAGGAAAGTATAAAAACGAGATAGAAAAAGTAAGGACAAATTAATATGCTGAGCTGTGAAAGGTTCAAGTCAACAACTTCTGGAACATATTTTTAGTAGCTGGTAGTACTCCAAAGAGTAATAAGATTACTGTTATCAAATATAAACAAATAATTAATGATTATGACTTGATCTTAGCAAGGAGTACCCAGATACTTTAGGAAGTAGAGAAAAGTAATGTCCTAGAAGGAATTTTTAGGAGAGGTTTATTTTTTGTTTTTGGTGCCAAGGACCAAACCCAGGGCTTCCAGCTTGCTAGGCAAGCATTCTACCGCTGAGCCAAATCCCCAGCCCTGGAATTTTTTTTTTGCTAGGAAAACTTATTATTTTAAGGTAAAAAAGTTTATTTTACCTTCATTGTTTTAAAAATCTGTAAAAT